ACCTGAATCAGTTAGACTGTAACACTTTCAAGGTGCAATGAAACAACAAAACATAATAATAGAGGCAAATTGTGTCAGACTCGTAATTTAGTGGCGCACTTGGAATTACAAGACCTATTTGCTTTGAGGCAAATTTTGTTTGATCGGAATTGAGCCAACCATCAAGACTCATCAATTTGTCATGAGATCCTTCAATTTTGGGATGAATTCAATCATTTAGTCTTTCAAAACATCATTTTGTCCATTTTAAGAAAGAATTCAAAAATTAATAATAAATTAGTGGAAATTCAATTTCTAGTGGCATCAGTTTTTGTAGGTTTTAGATGACAAAATGTTTTTTTTGTTAATTAGTTAGATTGTAATTTTTGATATCAGGTAAATTTTGTATAATTAGAGATTTTGCTTCCATTAAGGAGACAATTAGGGTTTTAGTCGTTCCTATATATATTGCCCTATGTAATACAAATTATTCAATCAATAATATATTTTTTCAGAATTATTCTCTTGTTTTTCTTTGTGGATTCAATGTGTTATTGTTCTATACACTTAAGAGTTGGTAATCTCTCCATGTCCTTTCATTATTGCTGTGTCACATTGCCACTGGCAATCAACTACTATAGCATATTCACAATCAACTATAATCAATTGAATTGACTTTAGAGAGGTAGAGAAAGTGAGATGGAAAGAGAGAAGTGGATGGAAGCTAAAAGCTAAAATGCAATCTCATAACTCCTTTCTAAAGTGGATCTAAAAGGGGATCTATTCATTAAAGGTGTATGAATTTTTAAAATCCATCCTTTCTTGTTAGGGTATATAAAAAGTTATGACCATTTACAAGGGAGGTAAGGTTGAAATTTTACCTTTTATATGACAAGTATAAACATAATTTTGGAATTTGCAAAAGAATCTTTGTGAGATCATCTTCTTTTCGGACAATTAGACACGACTATCAATAATAGTAAGATAGAGTACTATTCAAACTTTTCAAATTAAAATCAACTCTCCCAATGTAGAAAAGTAGAAGAACAGCTAGAATTTGATTGAAGTTTAGGTATACGGTTTAGATCTCATATAAACCTATCTAATTAAATTCAATGACTCCCAATCTATACCACCTAAAACCCAAATCCTGCCCATCACCCAATTCAAAGCTTATCTATATGCGAGCACCTTCTCTATTTCACTTCTTGCTCCTCTGATATGGAAGACACCCAAGTACCCCTCTCTCTCGCTCACAAATTTCACATACACACACATAGCACACACGCACATACACAAACTCTCTCTCTCTCTCTCTCATCTGCCAGTGACGAGCCCAAGTACCCCTCCTCTCTTTCTCTCTCTTCACACACACACACGTCTATAATAATAAGATAAAATACTATTCAAAATTTTTAAATTAAAATCAACTCTCCCGATTTATAAAATTAGAAGAACGACTATGATTTGATTGAAGTTTAGGTATATGGTTCAAATCTCATCTAAACCTATCTAATTAAATTCAATGACTCCCAATCTACCCCACCTAAAACCCAAATCCCACCCACTATACCTACACACACACACCACACAATTCAAACCATACCTACATGATAGGGCCTTCTCTCTCTTGCTCGCTTGCTCATCTGCGATGGAAGACACCCAAGTACCCCATCTCGCGCTCTCTCTCTCTCTCTCACGACTTTCACATACACACACAGAGCATGCACACATGCATGCACTCACTCACTTGCTCCTATACTAGGAACGAGCCCAGGTAACCCTCTTCTCCCTCTCTCTCTCTTTCTTTACACACACACGTGACTATAATAATAAGATAAAGTACTATTCAAACTTTTCAAATTAAAATCAACTCTCCCAATTTAGAAAAGTAGAAGAACAACTAAGATTTGATTGAAGTTTAGGTATACGGTTCATATCTCATCTAAACCTATCTAATTAAATTCAATGACTCCTAATCTATCCCACCTAAAACCCAAATCCCACCCACTATACCTACACACACGTCACCCAATTCAAACCATACCTATACACCTGTGTCTTCTCTCTCTCGCTTGCTTGCTCCTCTGCCATGGAAGACAGCCAAGTACCCCCTCTCTCTCACACACACAACTTTCACACACATACACACATCACTCTTTCTCTCTCTCTCTCGCTAGCTCCTCTGCCAGGAACTAGCCTACGTACCCCTACTCTCTATCTTCACACACACACACGTATACACACAATCATATATACACACATAATCGAACACACACACACACACACACAATCGATGTGTTTTAAAGTAAATGAATGTTAGAGTTATTTTCATTGAATGTTTGATTTGATGCTATATTTTTCAAATGATTTGTAGGGTTTTTTGATGTGAAAGTGATATGTTATAGTTGTTAGTGGTATTTTGTTTGAACGTTAAGAGTTATTAGTGGTATTTGGATTGACCTCATTATTTTCAAATTGTGGATTGAAAGTGATGATACCCAGAAGAATTTTTAGCTATGAGCCTTGGAGCCGAAGTCAAGTCAGGAGGCCTGATCAGATACGTAGGGCTCAAGGGACCCAAGCTGGAGCTCCCCCCAGACAAGTCAATAGCAAAGAGGATAAGGAAATAATTGGATGACAGCGGGGCTAGAGTCCAAGCGTAAAATTCTCAACCAACCGAGATCTTTTCCCCAAAAATCAGGGAAGATTCTGCTAAGATCACGTCTAAGAATCATTCGGATTTGAAATTGCACTACAAATACTGTACAATGCCTCCAAGATGGAAAAAGAGTCCCGAGTGGCAATAGAAGCATACTGCAAATTCCATCCTCCATTATGAAAACAAAAAAAATAAGAGTCTCCATTAAAGAGTAGATTAGCCGAGCTTTAGAGCTGGTGAACTACTATATCTTAATTGTGTAAATTACCCCAATCTCCCAGCAAAACTTCTTACGATCATCGCGAGCCTTGTGGCTCAAATTCAAGTTGCCAAGCATAATTTATACCTTTTGCTCATCCAAGTTTACTTACACCATCAAAAAGTTAAATTTGCGATTGAATAGTTTTTAAAGGACGATGACTTTGAATTTGACAAATACATATAAAAAGCAGTATTGTAGAAAACTGCTCATACAGATCAAATGTTTGGATTTTGAAAATGGTTTGTTTATCCAATATAATCAATGAGATTGTTTGGTTATTACAGGAATCAATGTAAGAATTGAGAGCTATGTAGATAAAGTTTTTATTTGATTTCAGTGTTGGATGAATTTATGTGACGATGGAAAAAATTATTATTTGACGATGCCAAAATTGTTATTAGATGATGTCAAAGATGTGTGTGTTGGATGATTTAGAGTTTTTTTTTTTTTTTGACTATGGAAGGAGCAAGACAATTTATAGATGGTATAGGGTTGTTATTTTATTGTATTTTATTTTGTCTAATAATTTTGTTTAGTTGCTCATCTTAATTATTCATATTTGTTTGAGTACATGTCGGTATTTGTTCAATGTTATATCTTTAGAGAATATTATATCAATTTTTTTTAAAAAAATTGGTTGATATTAATTAACAATTTATTTTGTTACTCCGTGCCTTTGGGCATGGGTAATTAGTAGTTAATGATAATAAGTAATACTATTTGAATATAGTTTATTGATCTAGTTTTTTGACCTAATTTATTATGATCTTTGGGTTTGTTGTGAACTCCATCAAACATTGGATTTAGTGTTGATTTAATTGTTTCAATAAAATCACATTATTATGTCAAATTTTTAAATTGCAATAACATTACTCTAACGATAATATATGAGTATGTTAAGCGCACATATAAACTAGAATAAGGTGCAGCACAATTTTATATAATAAAGACAGTGTCTTTGATGATATAACAAACTATTGAAAATTTGGGTGAAATTTTCCCTTAAATGCATCAAAATCACTTTAGTGAATATATTTGTAATTTTAAGGGTTGATGATTGAAATTGGCCGAGATTATAAGGACTGAACTGAGAGAATAATGGTTCAAGATCGTAATATTGTCCATTGACTTGAAGGGTACTTGCGTGACCTTACGATGGTGTATCGCAAGTTATATGAAATGATGGATAGAAAGAAAAAGTTGAACATAGTGCGAAATACACGCCACTACAAAATAAAATATTGGCTGATTCAACTCGGAGACTTCAATGACTCAAGCGTGACTCAGACATATCGGACCCGGCCGAATTTTTGAACCAGGTACAGAAACCAAGTCAGTGTTTTTCTTCCACTGCTCCTTTATCTTTTGTGGTCACTGGAAAACGGAAGTAGACGACAGCTTCTCGAACATTTTTTCTTCTGCTCAATTATTGCCAGATTTGTACTACCCCAGTTGTTTTAATCAAGTCCAGCAGGCCTCCATATTGGTCAAGTCAATCTGCATTATCTGGGGGTGGTGCTACTATTTCTTTATATGTTGACTTTTCTTCTAAGACTTACTGGCAATGGTTGGGCTGTCAAGTATTCTCAATCCGCTCTTTTATACGAGGAAGAAAACCAGTTGGAAGTAGGGATAAATTCTATTAGTTTGGTTTCTGACGTTTGTTCTGTTTGTATATTATACTAATGTTAGTGGTGTGAAAGAAGCAACTAATTTGATATAGACGGTGAAGTATAAACAATATACTCCCACACACGTACACACACGCAGTGTCCGTATGATCCTTGCCTTCTAGTTTTGAATGAAAAAAGGGTGGTGTTCAGAGATATATTCAGGAATCTTTTACAAGGTGAAGGCCAAGCTTCTTGTAGGGTAAGAATGTCTCTCTCTCTCTCTTGCTCTCTCAAAATATTTCTTTCATCAATATCAAAATCCTTCAACTCCCTCTCTCAAAAGCCAACCATCACTTTCTTCCAACTTCCAAACCTGATATAATTTAGCCTTTCTTTCTTTCCTCAACCATTTTCGTTCTCTCCTTCCAAACCATCTCTCTCTCGCTCACACACACACACACACACACACGCACACGCACACACAATGAAGAACCAGCAACAACACCACCAACCAATCTCAACAGCTAAACCATTTAATTTCCAAATTTATCTCCATAAACTCATCATCTATTTTCTTTTCCTTGGCTCTGGTCTAACCATTGGAATAACACTAAGTTTTTACCTCAAAGACCTTCCATTCGGGTTCCAATTCAATCAATTCTCTCTCCAATCATCCCCAACATCATTACCTCCTCCACCTTCATTGCCACAACAAAATCTTTCATCTCCCAATTTTCCAATTCCGACAAAAAGTAACAGCCGAATTGGCCTAAAAGAATATTTAAAGGTGCCAAACGCAATGCATGACATGGAAGATGAGGAGTTGCTTTGGAGAGCTTCAATGGTTCCTCGGATTCGAAACCTTCCTTTCCGGCGAGTCCCGAAGGTTGCTTTCATGTTTTTAACAAGAGGGGATTTGCCATTGGCTCCTCTTTGGGAGAGATTTTTCAAGGGGCATGAAGGGCTTTACTCCATATATGTACATCCTCAACCATCCTTCAATGGAACAGTGCCTGAGGATTCTGTTTTTCATGGCCGGAGAATCCCAAGTAAGGTACGTTAACCAGAAATCTTCATTTTCAATAACAATTGAATTTCAGTACTACTATTTTTTTGGTTGATTTTACATTAACGTTTTTACATTAACATTTTGAAACTTTGTTGAAGAACAAGGGATTAAACGGAAAATTTTCCTATAACTGGTGATATGCCACTCTTCATTGAAACGAAATATGGGTAGGGTAGGGAATATGGGCACGGTAGTATCTAAAGGGCAAATTACACTTGACTGTTTAACTAAGAGCCTTTTCTTCTTTACATTGCTCCCTCAATTATCATATTTTTTATATTGTACCTTTAACTAGATAATTAATTTATTTATTACCCCAAGAATTAACGTCCATTATAAATTTGACAAAAAAATATTCAATTTTGCCCCATAATTGTAATTGTTTTTTAAAAAATTTTGTTATGATACATCGGCAATTTTCGTTTAAAGAGAGAGTGGACATTTACATTTGAATAGTGTGAAATAATTCAAGTAGGTGGGGATAATTTAAAATTTTAATAGTTCAAGTGGCAAAGTTAAACCAAGTTTATATAGTTAAGGGGGTCAAAAAATAATTTATCTATTGATTATTAAATATTGGCATGTGCTTATTGGTTGATTCATGCAACTTTGAAATTTTCAATTGTAGCCTTTCCGATTGTTGTTGACTCGATTGTAGCCTCCAAATATTGGACACGCATCTTGTATATTTGTTGCTTTAACGTTCTACCCATGGTATTAATTGGACCAAATTTATTAACTTATATTGATTTATTAATCTATATGTTCTTAAATATCTGTCGTTTTACACAATTTTTTTTATTCCATAATATCTGTCATTTAATTAAATCAAAGCATAATTAATATTTTTGCTTCCAAATTTACCCTTAACTTTTTAATACATTAGATTAGGTGGAGACTAAGTGTCTTTCATATTTTTTTCCTTCCCAATACGTATTGAATAAGGGTATTTTAATCTTATATAATTATTTTTTATTCATATTAGAGTTATTTAATAATTTTCTTAATCCCTGTACAAAAATCTTAAACGATAAATATTTATGAACAAAGAAGGGAGTATCATTGAATTGAGAGTAAGGGTCAATAATTGATTGGGATTTCCCATCACCTCAATGATAATAATGAATTATTATATTAATAAATTAGGTCAAAATAGTATTATTTTCCAAAAAGTCTCACAAAGTTAAGTCCAAGTGTCTAACAATGTGTGGACACACCAAGCAAAGAAAACCTGTCTGGGTGAACCGATTTCCTATTGGCTATATATTACATTCCTAGACTATAACATTATGAGAAACTATTAGTTTTGGAGGGTTACATTGCCATTATAAAAAAAAAATCATGGACAGATCAGCTAAAAAAAGGTTTGATGAGTGGTGGTTTGAGAAGGTCAACTACTTCGAGAATTTAAGAGTTTAATTTATGACAACTTGTGGGCTTTCCTTTGTTTCTTGGTACCAGCGACCTTTTATTTTTTCATATGACATATATATATCGACACATATGTGTGACAGTGAGGGAATTCTTTACTTCACTATCTTTGTATTTTAAAAAGCAAGGAGAAAGCTCTCTGTCATGTGTATGGGAAGAACCTGAACTCCATTGATCAAATAATGCCACTTGCTGAATTATTAACCCTGGAGTTCAGTGGAGTCCTAAAATAAATGCACTTAAAGAAAGTTCCCCGTTCAAGTATCCAAAAAACATTTCTTGCAATAGTCATCAAAGGATTCCCCATGTCTCTATCGTCACACCTCTCAAAGAGCATGTTGTGTATGACCAAGTAGTGTTTGCTACATTGCTTAGATTCCACTCCTTTTGCTGACGAAAGGAAATTCCTTTCCATTCCCTATACCCTTCAAATTCCTCTCTCTCTCTCTCTCTCTCTCTCGCTCACACACACACACACACACAAAAACACAAATTCAAGTGATAACGGTTGAGAAAAGCTTAGGCAAGAATCAGATGTTTTAAAAGAACATAAAGTATCCTAAAGGTTAGAACCAAAGATGATTTTAGAGCAAGTAATGTCCTTATTTAACCTTGATTAAACGACTAACAAGTTCATTGTTTTCAAGAACAATTAATGTACAGTACATTATCATATTGGAGAGGAAAGGGGAAATACATCGTTCTGTGACCTATGGCAAAAATCCTTTTCAGTGCCCACGGGGAAAGTTCTTTAATAAATAAGCTTGTTGAAATTAAAATAGCTAAGCATAATTTTCAATCCTGTAAATTCCTACCTCATTTTTCTACTCAATTCCATCTGCAGAGAGAGCTACAAAACATGCCTAACAGCCTTAGCCCAAGAGAAGTACCGATTTAAGAATCTAGTTTGAGGGGAGGGGGGAGTATATAGAAGGACAGCCTATTAAATTTTGAAAAAAATGCAGAGAGATGAGCGACACAAGCTTATGTAATTTGAGATATTCATAGCTGATACTTGCTAGTCTAGAACGAGGGTTTGTCAAATCTTAGGACCGATCTTCTCCCTTGCTTTAGATCTATCATTGTGTAGACAGTACGTTGGGCCTATTTCAATTTTCTACCAAAATTAAACTTGCCAGCTTCACTTGGAAGGGTTTTTAATTCATATCCCCTCTTCTGGTTCTCCTTGTGCTCCTACCCACAGTTTCTTTCTCTAGACGAGAAAAAAGACGGAACATGTTGGATTGTATTGAGTTATTTGGCTGTTCTATCAAGGCAATCTCGTTGTTAATGAATAACAATTAATGAACCTAGATCTTGCTAGGTCAAGCTATATTCGTGGGATAAGCCCAAATAGTAAAAAAATAGCTATTACCCGAAGATAACACCTATCCTTAATTACTGTTATTCTTAATTGTAGCTATCCTTCCTAGAAGACTAGTAATCTGACCTTCACGTCATCGCCTTATTTAGGGCTCTGTGTCTATAAATTGTAAGCTTTCCAAACATGGGGAAACACATACCCCACACCGTGAGCTTACTCTCTCTCTCTCTTTCTCTCCCACTTAGTACTTTATTCTCTCATTGATAAAGTTCTTCGGTCACTGTCGCTGCTTTCAATGGTTAGGTCACCTCGGCCCAACCACCAAATCTTTGTCTTTTACTATTAATTGCTTTATTAATTACCTTACATCATACACTTGGCTGATTTGATTGTGTATAGCCTATTTTGTGCATTATCGGTTCGGCGCCGTCTGTGAAAAACGAATAAAATTTTCTGTTATTTATCCTTAATTTCTCTATGGCAATCACTACTAGGTCAATGAATCAACAACTAGAGGATCACGACCCAGCTTGCTGGGAGGAGATCCTACCTCCGCTTGTAGAACCCTCCACTGTTGCAAATCCTATGGTTAGGCAACATCTCTTGGAAACGATGCAGTTCTTGGTGAGTCAAAACCAATAAATTCTCCAACTGATGCTTGCCTCAAGAGGAGGCATGCCTCGACCCGCAAGAGGGGAAGCACCATAGCCTATCCACCTAGTGCACCAAGGTGCCCCCCAGCATGGCACCCCTTTGCAACGCCTGAGCGCCCCCCTCCAGGGAGTCCCTCCTCAACACCAAGGGGCCCCACATGCTCCTCTCTCTCATGTCCCTACTCCATTCTTACATGTTGCGGACCCCTTACATAGGAGGATGAGGGCGAAAACCAATGTGGACCATGAAAGCTACTACAATGATTCGACCGAAGGTGTCCCTAACCAATGAGAGGAGAAAATCAAGGAGGTGCAAAATCAGATTGGCGACGCCCTCAACGCCATCAAGGCACAGGCGCCAAAAATGGTGGACTATCTAGTAACGTGCATTGATACTCTATTTGTGGCGAATGTTGTCAACTACCCTTTACCCTCGACATTCAATATGCCTACCATAGAAATCTTTGATGGTACTAAAGATCCCCTTGATCATCTCGACACGTAAAAATCTCTCATGTAACTCCATAACGTATCTGGCGAGATCATGTGCAAAACTTTCGCTACTACCTTGAAGTGGTCTGCCTGATAGTGGTTCACCAAGCTCAAGCCATCTGCCATCAACTTTTTTGCTGAATTAAGCAAATCCTTTGTTTCCCACTTCATAGGGGGACGCCGACATCAGAAGCCAGTCACCCACTCGTTCACCATCAAGCAGGACCGGGATGAAATTCTAATGAGCTACTTCACTCTTTTTAACAAGGAGGCTCTCCAGATTGAGGAGTCAAATGACAAGGTTACTATAGTCGCCTTTATTGCAAGTTTGTGCTTGTCGAGTTTTATGTTCTCCGCCTTGAAAAAGTCACCACCAAGCATGCTTGAGCTATTGTCCAAGACACAAAAATATACGAATGCCGAGGATGTTACCAAAGCCAAGCGAGGTGATTCCTTGTGCGGGGGTGAAAAAAGAAAGGACACCCATGAAGATAAAAGAGAAGCAAAGAACAAGAGAACGAGGACGGAGAGAGTCTACATCAAAGACTGCCTTGGTCCTGCACCTTTGAGAGAGTAGCAAGCCTTTACGCCGCCTAACGCTTTGGTTGAACATATCCTACTCCAAATACAGGATGATCCTACAGTACGTTGGCCTGGGAAGATGAACTCCGCTCCGAATCGTAGGAACCCAAACAAGTACTGTTGTTTCCATCGTGATCATGGCCACGATGCCAACGACTGCTTTGAACTCAAAAAGCATATCAAAGAGCTCATACAGTGTGGCCAGTTGTGATAATACATTATTGGCAGAGGATAGACCCAACCACCCACTCAAAACCAAGATGATAGAGAGTACCAGTAGCCCCTCAGAGAAATCCAGATGATCTCTAGAGGGTTTGGAGGAAGAGGTGACTTCAACTTCGCTAGGAAGGCGCATGTCAGGAGAGCTAGACAGGTGGTGTCAGATGACCCTCGCCTGACGAAGACGCATCAACATAGGGAATGATAGGTCATCTCGTTCTCAGAAAGGGACTTCGAGGGGATCGAATACTCTATGATGACCCTCTAGTGTTAACCTTGATGGTAGCCAACTA